CAAACTCTTCAGAGCAAATGGATTTGCAAATTTTATAGACCCAAATGTATCCCCACCCTCCTGTCTTCATCCAACCACTAATGGTCAAACAACTACTAGTCCTAAATACACTAAATGGATTCTGATTGATCAGAATCTTGCCACAGCTCTCTATTCTACCATAACGCCAGCCATTCTACCCTACGTATTACATTTAGACTCATCTGCTGCCAGTTGAAAGAAGATAATAGTCCTCCAACATATCACGTGTGATTCAACTCAAAAATGAGTTACACAATGTTTCAATGAAGCAACATATAATGTCAGAATATCTAAATGAAGTAAAAAACCCTGGTAGACAAAATAGCCGCAACAGGAGCCACTATAGATAAAGAGGATATCATTCTTTATACACTCAATGGTCTGCCACCTGCATATTACTCATTTAAAAGCACAATTCAAACAATGGTACAACCAATAAGCCTAGATGATCTATATGCTTTCCTAATTAGTGAAGAGATAAATCTCAATGCGGAAGCAGCCAAACAACAAAACTTCCCAGACCAAAACATAGCTTTATACTCTACTGGAGGTAGAGGAAGATGGGGCAGAGGCAGATTCATACAACAAAATACCCAAAATAACAATAACAACAAAAATTCCAATCAACCTGTAAAAATGTGCCAAATATGTAACAAGAAGGGTCACATGGCAGCAAACTATTGGCATCCGTTCAAAAATGTGACAAAAATGATCATACCAATCCAGATTGGTATTTAAATTATGGATCAACTTCACATCTAAATAATGACAACAACAATCTCACTCTCAGTGAACCAAGGCAATATAATGGAACAGACAACATACTCATTGGAGATGGAAGTACTATGCCCATAGCACATACCAGAGCTAGGATTTTACCAACACCCAACAGTAAGCTTTACTTACCTCAAATACTCCATATACCCAATCTCTCTCATAATTTACTTTCTATATACCACCTCACCAAATACAATAACATTTCCATTATTTTTGACATTCATGGTTTCACCGTGAAGGACATCAAAACAAACAAAACTTTGTTTCATGGTCCCAGTCATAAAGAACTCTATCCCATTCCAGCCCATACCAAGATTTGCCAACAAAAAGCTTTGTCAGCATAAAATAACCACCAAGCCAATATTCTTTAGCATAACAGACTTGGTCATCCCCATACCAGAACCATGACCATTATCTCCAACTCAAATACACAACTCAACATACCCACATTCCACACTCTATGCTATGCCTGTAAAGAAGCTAAAAGTCACAAACTTCAGTTTCCTATATCTAGATCTAGATCTAGAACACCATTAGAAATAATTCATTCTGATGTATGGGTTCTAGCTCCAGTCACTTCAAAACAAGGATTACAAAATTATATAATCTTCATAGATGACTATTCTTGATTTGTATGGATATTTCCTAATTTTTTCAAATATGAAGTTCCCTCTATCTTCATTACTTTCCACAACATGATTGAAAAACAGTTTCCATATAAAATAAAATAGTTTCGATCAAATGGAGGAATAGAGTACACTAATAAAATGTTGCAAAACCACCTGAGAAACCACAGAATTATCCAACAGATCTCATGCCCATACACACCAGAACAGAATGGTATTACTGAAAGGAAACATAGACATCTCATTGAAACAACAAGAACTTTGTTAAAAATAGCTTATGTATGATATCTTCATTAGCCAGAGGCAGTGCTCACTGCATCTTACCTCATAAACAAACTCCCAACTCATACAAACCACAACAAATCTCCACTACAGTTACATTATAAAAAGGACCCTGATTACTCCCACATAAAAATGTTTGGTTGTACTTGTTTTCCTTGGATGCCCCCACAATACCGACATAAGCTTGCCCCAAGAGCCAATCTATCTATTTTCCTTGGATACTCTATTTCTCATAAAGGATACAAATGTCTTAACCCAAAACAAACCAAATTACCATTTCCAGAGATGTTGTCTTCGATGAAACAACATTCCCATTCAATGATATCAAATCAACCTCACCACAACCTACATCCACAACTGATAATCCCTTTGTCCTCACACCCACTACTCAATTCCAACCCATTTTCATTAACCAACACCCCAACACATCACAGAACAACAACTCCACTACCAACCAAAATCCTGACCCATCACAGACAAACAACACCAGTATTATGGCCAAAAATAACACCCAATATCAACACATATCTTCAAACCACTCTACCCCCACACTAATCATACCAACCCATCAAATGCTAATAATACTCAAGACAGGTTCTTTAAAACCCAAAACAATTTTCAACCTTTTACATCAAAATTCTCAGCTTACCGAGAATAAAACTCTCGAGCCTCACACATATCAAGAAGCATTGAAACATTATCATTGGAAACAAGCCATGGACACATAATTTTATGCATTATAGAAATAAGAAATGTGGACATTGATTCCACCTCCCCAAAAAACACCCATTCTTGACTGCAAATTGACATATAAAACCAAATTACACTCAGATGGATCAATTGCAAGATACAAGGCCAGATTGGTAGCTCAATGCAACAAGCAACAATATGGCATCAATTACTTGGAGACTTTCATCCCTAGCTAAGTTTCCCACCATTCGTGTGCTTCTCATAATTGCATTAAGCAAAAACTGGGAAATTTAGTAACTAGATGTAACAAATGCTTTTTTTACATGGGGAATTAACAGTTGTTATGTACACGAAATAACCACAAGGATATGAAGAAAAACAACATCCATAATATGTATGCCTTCTTCACAAGGCTATCTATGTTCTTAAACAAGCATCTAGACAATGGTTCACGACCTTCTTAATATTTTTACAACAGATCAAATTCAAATCAAGCAAAGCCGATCCTTCATTACTTATTCTATCTCAAGAAGACTCTCAGGTTTATTTACTCACATATGTAGACGTCATACTCATAACAGGTAACAACAACTCTCTCATTTCACACATCATACTGCAACTGCACAACAAATTTTCAATGAAACATCTTGGCACAATTAACAATTTCCTTGGCATAAACATCACGAAACATAATAACTCGCTGTTTTTATCACAAACTCAATATGTTCTGTCTATTCTCAATGCAGTAGGACTTAACCTATGTAAACCACTATCCAACCTTTCATGCACAAAACCATCGTCAAACATAGATCCAGATCCTATTCTCACAGACCATTACACATATCGACAACTCACTGGCTCATTATAATACCTCACAATAACCAGACCAGACATTCCATATCATGTCAATCTACTCTGTCAACACATGCACGACCCAAAACCATATCATGTATACATGCTCAAAAGATTACTCACGTACATCAAAGGAACAATCGATTATGGCATCCCCATTTTTTGGGGGTCACTATGACTGTAGTCATACTCTGACGCCGACTGGGCGAGTGACACAGAAACAAGAAAATCAACGACTAGATACTGCTCTTTCTTAGGCAACACACTAGTCTCATGGAGAGTGAAGAAGCAACATACCATAGCAAGATCATCTACATAAGTAGAATACATGGCTCTACCCACGGCTATCACAGACATCATTTGACTATGACAACTGCTACAAGATTTCAACATACCTACATCACAACTGACGATTCTTCACTGTGATAAATAGTTCTACCATATCCCTAGCCAACAATCCGGTATTTCATGCCAGGACAAAACACGTAGAGATAGACCATCATTTTATTTAGCATCAAATACATTCGAACATCATTCAGATTCAGCAAATCAGCACTCAAGAACAAACTACCGACATCCTCACGAAACAGCTTTCAACATCAAGATTTCATCATCTTCACGCCAACCTCAATGTTTCCCAGAAACCTTAAGCTTGAGGGAGAATGAAAAGAAAAGAAGAAAGCAGCCACAATTTACATAACAAAGCCAATCAATTATACAGATCGCAGACATCCATTATGATCGCAGCCATACGCTTGCATAGATCGCAGCCATCCAGATAGCAGTCATACTCATTCCACGTGTACACATAGATAGCCAAGTATTTACAACTATCAAGATTAATGTCAGCCACATGATTAGTTTAAGGAAAAGTATAAATACATCTACATACAACATTGAAAAATCAAGAAAGTATTATTCTCTCTACTTATCTTCGGTGTTCATTTTTCTTTAGTATCCTTCGTAATTTACCTTCACAAATCTACCTGATTAAGCTTCCCTTCGAAAGAAAGGCTTGCTAATGAACCAGCCAAGCTAGTTGTTTTCAAGAACCATATTTTAAAGATTAATCTTGATTCCATTGCCAAATGGCTTATAAAATATGAGTGAGAGCCGAAGTTAAAAAGTCCGTTTGCAGCTCGCACTAACAATAACGATAATCTAATGACTCTTGATTTTTATTTTTTTATTATTATGGTTTTGAATTATCTAAAATGTGAGGTAGCATGGAAGTTGAAAAGCACAAAAATATAGTCAATTTAGGGGCTGTTTGGTGGAAGAAAAATAGATGTAAATTATTTAAAATACAGGAGTTCTGAAAATAATGGTGTTTGATTGGAAGAAGAAAAATGCTAAGTAAAATGAAATTAGGATAAATCATTTTAGTTCATTTTTGAGTTAAATTAAACTCGCTCTGAGCGTAAACTGTTTCCAGCAAAAACATGTTTGCTTGACCATTGCCACCCTCCACCAGGCACCACCACCACCACCACCACCACAACTAGCAGCTGGTTGCTGCCACAGCCAACTGCCTCTATCTTTAAACTTTACACTACATTCATTTTACTTTAAAACATGAATATATATCTTCACATACATTTAGTTTACACTTATCCAAACAACTTCAAAATATTTATTTCACGATTATTTCTTTTACACTGCGTTACTTTTTTAACCAACCAAACAAGTCCTTTACTGTCATCTTCAGCCTCCAAATTTTCTTCTCAAATTTCGCAATCTAAACATATGAAATTAGTAAATGTGAAAAAGAATAGCTTTGTTAAAGAATAAACAAGACACGTCTTTTATATACCTGAATATGCTGTATGCATGTCAGAGGCCCAAGTACAGTAGCCATGTAGAATAATACAATAAATGCTCAATCCATGCAAGCTACCTTAAAACCTTACCATGCAATTAGTAACTCAACAATCGGGAGGGTAGAACATAGCAATAGTTTGCTACATTTTCCGTTAAAAAAATACCATATTCACTGATCAGAATTTGAATTTTACCGCATGGAACTCTTTGCAAACATCATTAAGGAAACCATCAATGACCCCTTCCTTTATTCCTATTCCTCTGAAAATTGCTCATAACCAGAAAAATCAGTAGGCAGACTATGATCAACACTTTTTGACCTTTTAATCATCAGATAAATGGTTCTGGTGGAATATACATGAACAAGAAAATATGAATGCGCAGTATAAAGATCAATGATTTCAACTCCACATAATTATCTCCTTGATATACCTCTTCTCATCCTTGACTTCGCCCGCCGCCCACAAAGCAAAATGTGGCTAGCCTTTCGAAACTTGCGATGGACTTCTGGCTTCACCTGGATTCAACAAATATAGAGTTATGGCGTATGTGGAAACCTTCTTTTTAATCCATATCGTAGAGAAAAGATAAATTTGAAACTTTACCTGATGTTTGTGGGGTCTGTTGGTTTTCCAACAAAAGAGCCCGCTACAACCAGGTCCAGATTCATATTCCCTGCGGATACAGATTCAAATAAAGTTCATATTGAGTAAAGAGAGAAGGATTCATAAAAAAATGGAATTTATGTAGAGGAACACCTTTAACTTTATGATGGAGCCTTATTATCAACTAAAAAATATCATGAAAATGTTTAAGGGGGTTCATTAGTCAACTAATCCCAAATATCTCATATTAAATTAATGAAACTTAATTTAAATTTAATATATATATATATATAAATTAAAAAAAAAAATAATAATAATAATAATAAAAGAATAGAAATTTTAATAAGAAAAAGGGGCAAAAGGAACATTGTAAGCAGCTAAGAAATGTCTTTAAAATTCACTAAAGGATTGTTTGGCTGTAACTATTATAAGTGTGAAGTAAAAGAAATGGAGGGATTTTGATGTTTTTGCTGTTTGTTTTGAAGTAAACAAAATACAAATTATTTTTATAGAAGATTTGAAATACTCAAAAAGGTATTTTTTTATTCATTTAGAATTTGTCCAATTTGAACCAATTCTAAATAAAGTAAAAAACTAACAGCCCCCAACCTCACCTTCTTCGCCCTTAGCAAGGACCCATCCATGCTCGTTGTTGTCTCTTAACCACGGAAAACTAGCTTTTCCCATTGCCCCTCCAAAGATATCAATGCCTTTGCTTCTCAAAGGCTTCATCAAGACTAAACAATTTGACCACATAAACCAAGCCTAACAAGTGAATGGATATGCTTGTTTCCACGGTCATTTCTGTCATATAGCATATCACCACCATTTAATATATTCCTTACAGGTTTCTATAGTCAAATTTGATCGAATACAGATCTAAGCATACTTAAAAGGCATATACATCTTATTTTTTTCATGAAAAATCATGTTCTGAACCTTTAACATGACTGACAGAAGTATATATATATATTCAATAATAGTGCTTATTCAAAGTTGGCAAAGTAAAATTAAATTGCACAGTAATCAATCTGATAACCAAATTCCTAATTAAGTAAATCAAAGAACAAATGAAATATTTAAATAATAACTTACAAGTTTTCTTTGCCAAAATTGTTCCCAAAGCTGTTGCTATGTAGTAGACTAGGCGAAATAGCATAGTTAATCTTATCCCCAACGACTTGTGACTTGTGCTGGGTTTGAATATCATATAGTTTTAGAGCATTGATTCCATGATTTCGTTCATTTTCCCAACGTTTCATTGGTCTATCCATCGCAACTGATGGATCATAAAACAGCTCACCATTCCAGCCATTATGGTGAATGGATATGTTCTTGTTAGTTTTTGAAAGAACTGGAAATCCAGATATACCATTTTCAGCATCTTGCATCCATGCATTTTCTAGTTTTTGCCCATTAGAAGAAGTTTTAGTATCCATGTTAAGAACTGCAATCTCCATCCCTTTTTCTTTCAAGGCAGAGGACCAATCATTTTCTTCTGAAGAACCTGAGGAACTTCCACTTTGGAAAGTATCATCTTGTGGAAATGAGCTGCTACATTTCTCTAATTTTTTGTGACCAGCACCTTCAAAACCATCTTTATAAGGCGAGCCCTTTATGCCATCAGGTAACATCTTTCTTTGGTTATCCAGGAACTCAAGCTTCGCCATGTACTGTTCTGTGTGTGAGTCAAGTGGTGGTTTAAAATTGATACTGCCATCAGGAATTAGACCCATTTTTACCCGAACATTCCGTTTTAGGACCATCTCCAATAAATTTGCGATGCTACTTGAGTACCTTTCAGCTCTCAATTTTATACAACTATCCACAAATGCTATGAAAGCAATCAATATACCTGCAAATTGAGGAATTGAAAATTACCGCTTAATCACAGAACATGTTTTACCATGACATGATTGGGAAGCACAAGTTCTAGAATAAGAGAAAATATTAAAATAGTCTTTGGACTATTGTATAGGGCCACTTTAATCCGATACTATAAATATGTGTAATTTAACTCCTTGACTCCTCAAATATGTTTCAAAATAATCCCTAAGTTGGATTATCTTGAATTTGATTTGAATCAAGGAACTATTTTGAATGTAATAAGTAAACACTCATCCTAATTTTTAATAACAAGATCGAGTGAGTATAAATGTGGGCACCGAAAATTCGGCCCCAGCCTACCCCGCTGCTTTCTTCGGGGGAGTTTTAATGGATTAAGTTCCAGGGTAAATTTTGGGAAGGAAATGGGTTTGTAGATAAGACACTACATAGAGATTTTACCCTCATTTTGCTAGGACTTTATAATCCGAGTTCTGGTTTCCTATAGGCGCAAGCCCCTATAGTTAATTACCACTCCAGATAACAAGAGAAAACTTTCGATTAAGGCTAGTCGTCAATCAAATACGTAGAGATACGTGGTATCTGACATATAGTAGTAGCATGGGCTTAGAAATTGGAAATGGGTTGATATTTAAAATTGAAAATTTCATCATCTTGCACTTAAAGTGGATGGTGGGGGAATGGATGATGGGCCCGATCAAGATCCCATGGTTCCGTCGTCCCGGGTCATCGTGTTCCCTGGTCTACTTACAAAGGAGGTAATCGAAACCCAAACCTGACAGAAGGATCATTGTCAGCAACTATGGGTTGCTTAGCCCAAGGGGACCTGTAGACCTGGAGTGAATGTTGTCTAGGGGACAAATTTGAATCCACCTTAGCTAACAAAGGGCTTTGCCTCCACCCCACTAGAGAAAAACATGAACGGATTTACCCGCCTCGCCATAGGTGTTGCACCAAGTTCCCTTCCCACCATACTAGAGAAAAGCTTGCAATTGGCGGTTTTCCATTCGACATAAACGTCCGAATGGGGGTTTTCAGTTAAGTAATTATTATACCTGCACCGTATGACAATGATGGGTGGAGGGCATTAAAAATCGAGACAAATACGTTTCTTTCTTCTTTTATAATTAATTACATTAATTATATTTAAAAAAAAATGAATTATAATTTTAAAATAATTAATTTAATTAATATTAATCTAATTAATTATAATTAATAATAAGTAATTAAATTAAAATAATCAATTATAATTATTTTAATGAATTATAGTAACTATTAATATATAATGATTAACTATAATGATAATAAATTTATTTATTAATTTATTGTAGTTAAAACTATTTAATATTAATAATTATAAAATATAATTAAATATTTTATTATAATTAACTTAAATTAAATATAATTAATTATTAACAATAATAATTAATTATACTTAAAAAACTAACTAATTTCAATTTAAAAGAAATTATACATGATTTGTACAGGATTTGTGTTGGATTTGAATAGAGATTTACACAAAATTCTGTTAATAGGATTTATACAAAGTTCGGGCATGATTTTTGCTAAATCCTATTAACAAGAGGTCGTCTGAATGAATGCAAGATTGGAGTATGATTTAGGCGTTGTTGGAAACAGGATTTAGGGAAATGTTAAATCTCACTATTAGTTAATTCCTATACTTCCCTATTTTTACTTCAGCAGATTTACATGATTTGTCCGAAGAAGCTTGTGAAAGGGAGATGGTTACCGTCGCAAGTAAGCGAGTTCCCATCCTCACTCCCAATAGGGGTGTCAATTTCGGGTCACGGGTCGGGTTCGGGTTGAACCCGGAACTGACCCGGCATTAATCGGGTCTACCCTAACCCAACCCGTTTTTGCAAACGGGTCGGTTTTCTAGACCAGAACCCGACCCGCTTCGGTTCGGGTCGGGTTCGGGTCAACCCGACCACACCCATTTCAGCAAAATCCTGCGCCTCCATTCAAAAATTTCGCCAAATCCGAGCAGGCGGAGCAGGCTACACCATGCGGCAGACGGGGCCACGCCCACGCGGTCGCGGATCACACGCGGGCAGCGGGTCAAGTGGGGACCACGGGGCAAGTTGCAGCGCTGTGCGGCTCGATGCGCAAGTGGGGAAGGCTGTGCGGCTCGTTAGGGTAGACGCGAACCACCCGATCGCGCGCTGCATCGGGGCAGTGGGGTGCTGGGGCAGGCGGGCAGTCTGCGCGGCTCGATGCATGCGTGCAGCCGGGGCAGGTGGGCATGCAGGTTTTTTCGGGTCATGTGTGGTTTCCGGGTCAACCTGAACCCGACCAACTTTGGATTCAGATCAACCCAAACTGGAAATTTTTGAGTCAAGTTCGGGTCGGGTCCAATATTGACAGGTCTAGCTCCCAATCAAAATGTCGTAACTTCCAACCCGGCAAGAAATGGAGCATCGTTGAAGGAGCAAAAGGCTAGGGCAAGGGTTGGTCGGAGATGGGCTGGAGGCTTCGGGATGGAGATCGGGCATTGCACTAGGTCAGAGAGAAATCTCTCTCTCTCTCTCTCTCTCTCTCTCTCTCTCTCTCTCTCTCTCTCTCTCTTTCTCTCTGTATCGAAGGTGCAGCTTGCAAATGGGGAAGAGGCAGAGAGATGCAGGGCTTCGGTTCTAGAGGTAGGAGCGATAAGCTGTAGCAGGAAAGATGGAGTCGAGCTCGGCTATAGCGACGTCAGGTTGTTGGGATCGGAACGTAGGGTTAGAGTTGGGTTTCAGAGGCGAGATCAGATGTGGGAGTTCCGAACAGTGGAGATGTGGGGAAGGTTAGTCGGTTAGAATGGATGTTTTTTCAGCTTCGTATGGATCGGGATGGGTGCGACTGGAGTGGAGGAAGCTTTGGTTTTGCGATGGAGGCCTTCGATCTTGTGTGAGAAGGCGAGTGTGGAGAGCGAGATGAGGCGGAATTGGGTTTCGGTTCTGTGTATGTGGAGACGGAGAAGTGAGATCTTGCTCCCATTTTAACAATGCAAATGAGCGAAATTTGATTAAAAAAATGCGACGATTTTCTTGTTGCCAGTTGACGTGACTGTAGCGCCAAATCGCAGAGGTGGAAGTGACTTTAGCAGCGGCGGGATGAGACTATAATAGGATTCATGTAGGATTTGGCAGAGGATTTCGGTATGGGTTCGGCTGATAGCAGGTATTTTGTATATATATTTTTTATTTGCTCTCTTCTTCTTTTTTTTTTTTTTTTTGAAGCAGTGGTCAACAATAAAATGTGTCTGCATGACTGGGAGTAGTTAAAATGGGTGTAAAAAAGGAAGTTTTATTTGGTCCGGTTCGGTCGCAGGCAAAATCCCGCTATACCGAGGTGTACCGAGTTTTCGAAAAAACTCGGTACACCTCGGTATAGCTGGATTTTGCCTGCGACCGGATGTTTCTCTGCATCCGGTCGGAGGACGTAATAATTGTTCGTAAAAAAGACAAGTATTGTGAAACACTTGAATTAAAATCTAAATTGATTTGACACATGTAACTTTGGATTCTTCTCCATTGTACATATTTTGCGGAACCAGCAAAACGGACAAATGTAAACTAATTAGCTGTGGCAGGATCAAATTGCAAGAAATAAGATGTTTTGAGTTGGAAGAACTAGACAAAAATTGAGGAATCAAATCAAAGTAAATCGGCTAATTTTTTAATTACGTTGATAATGGAGTCAATGAACAGGAGCATCACGAAACAATAACTTAGAGGCTTACCTTCATTTTCAGTTAATGAGATGAGCTTTCCATGAACTGATAGCATTTGTCTCAATGTTTTTGAATAGCACTTTTCAATGCACGTTCTCCAAATCTCAGATAGCTTCCAAGTTTTTTGAGTGGCATCATAAAGTAAAAGAGCATCTTCTGAAGAGCTTTTAACTGATTGAATTTTTGCAGGCTCAACAGCCGTGAGCATTCTAGATGGTGTGTGGTGACCACAAGGGGTAGGCCTTGTGCTCCTTATGCTAGTAACACTAGCAGAACTCAATTCTCGCAATGCACGCAAATTGGAGGACCTACTAGAAAATGCAGAGCATTTTTTTATGTCGGCCATTTTGGAAGTAGTATGCTTTCCACTAATGTTCGGTTGAGTTGACTCAATATTTTTTCTAGAAGCAAGCTGAAGCAGCGCAGTCGTTAGTAAAGAGGAGTGTTCACTAGAATGTTTCAACTGCTTTTCGGCATCAGAAAGGATTTTCAACGCCTGCTCTAATCTCTTCAAGTCACATTCTGTCACTAAGAAATTATCCAAAGAAATGAATATTTAAATTAACAAGGAGAACCGTTGTGAAATAAGTTATTGTCTGGTCTGATAAAACATAGGAAAACTTGAGTTATCCTTTCATATAATTTTGTGTTGGACAACATAGGGAAATTATCGGCCTTAAACAAGATTATAATCAAAGTTCTCTGGGAAAGGTTCAATTGATAAGCTGCATGGTTAAGAATTAAATGGCTTAAAAAAGGAGCGCCAGCAAAGAAATTACAACAACAAAATTAAGGCAGAACATTGCATTAGTAAAATCCATAAACTAAAACTCTAGGAGAACAGTACAAAAGTATACTAAACATAGGTCCCCTCCACAAGTTGAATTTCACTACAAAGTCCTTAAATTCAAATACGCTCTACCTTAGCCATTCTTTGGAAGCCTTGCAATATCATCACGATAAATTTATGAGCATCCAATTGCCTCGGACCTACAAAAAACCAGAACAGACAATCATATCCACGAGAATGGTGCCAATTTAATCGAACAGGTATGGATTAAAATTAGGCCAGCATCCAAGCAATTCAACTCCTAATCTGCTGACAACCAAGAGGCAACCTAACTAAAGTGGTCCTTAGCAAAGGGACAGCTTGTCGAGAACTCACCAGAAAATCCTAAAATGACAAACCGGCAAAATAAGATAAAGAGGCCCAACACTTAAAAAATTCATTAACAATCTGGAGGATGTTGCAAATTCAGTTTCATGGACTATGTTTTGATGATTTGACAAACACTCTTGTTTTTCTTCAACTGCCTGTTACTACTGACATTTCAGGAATCAAAGATCGGACGAAATCAGAACCAGCTCAAGATTGGGAAGATTAGGGTTGAATCAGTCAATTGTAATTGTTTGAAGTGACTGATGTTAAGTAACCCTACACACACACTTGAGAGATTTAGAACTTGTGTTTTCACTCACATCGTCCCGGACGATATTTATATCGTCCTGGACGATCGAGTTCAAAACAGAAGATCTAATCAGGATTTCTTAGTTATGGCAGCCGTAATTAACTGATCGGCCTGGACGATACCTGTATCGGCCAGGACGATATGCTCAATACAGAAAGAAATTGCCGCCATGATCAGTTTAGGTATTCTGTATTTTTGAAAATCGGCCAAGACGATTATTTGATTGGCCTGAACGATATTGTATAATTATGCCTAAATTGATCCGACAATCATGGGAGTAATTAAGGATGATTGATATGATCACATCGTCCTGGACGATCGCAATATCGGCCTGGACGATCCATTCAAAAACCCTTGGTTGCTCCTGGACGATAAATATCGGCCAGTACAAATTCAGGGCGATACGCTGGCCGATTTGGATCGGACAGCTCAAATTCAGGGCGATGCTCTGGACGATTTTCCTCTGATTTGAACTGATCGTCTGGGACGATCAAGCAAATTTTCAATCTTCCAGTTTGCATTCAGGGCGATGCTCTGGCCGATCCTATGAGATTTGTATTGATCGGCCAGGACGATTTAAATATCGTCCTGGACGATAAAGTCGGCAACTTGCACTTAATGAGCCCCTTTGAAGCTCTTCTATTTAAGAGCTCTTGTTCAACGTTTTTGAACATCCTTGGCTGCTGTCTTGACCTAAGAAAACCTAAAGGAGAGAGAGAGAGAGGATCTTGTAAGGGGGAGCTTGTGAGGGGATTCACTAGGGTTGCTCCAAGCATTGTTCCACTTCTTCTTCCCTAGAGTCTCTTGTCCTTGGAAGGGTTGGGAGAGGCAAGTTTCAGCAAGTGATCGTGATTCTCTGCCTGCTTCAGGAGGAAGCAAAAGGAGTTGGGTTCTCTGCCTTGCCGGGTGTGGCAAAAAGGAGGTGTTTTTGTGAGGGCTTCTCCGCCTAGCTGTGGGGGCTAAAGGAGAGTCACGTTTGTAGTGCAATACTCGGAGGGCGCCTCCGGGGAGTGGACGTAGGTCGAGTTGACCGAACCACTATAAATCCTTGTGTTCTTGTTTTTACTGCTTCTGCATTTATTTTCTTCCGCACTTGTTTTTTTGGTGATTTGGTTTGTGATAATCGTTCTTTTTTCTTAAAGAAATTTTTAAATACCAATTTACCCACCTCTTGGTTAGCCTCGGGCCAGTTCTATAGGGCTTAACATCCCTAACGAACTTTCAGAGGATTACCGTGAACTGATAAGGAAACTAGTCAGGCTTGCTAAATATATATCCAAGAGCATGAGGAACCACTGCTGGATTAAGTATGTCAAGCCATCTAGTTCATCCCAGATATTTTCCAGCAAGTTTTCTCTCGAGCTTATGATAGGAGGCGGCCAACAAAGGCGCCAATAATTCCAGTGATCTCGAGATAGGGCATGATTTGTAATGCTTCCATAGTTTCTATACGTTCAATAACTCTAGGTGGAAATGTCTCGGAAACTCCTAGTGAGAACTCATGTCTCGAAGAAAATGAATCTGAATTTATTAAATCCTCCTTAACAAATGAAGAAGATGATGATATATCCCTGAAATTATCTAATGGTGCCACATAAAGACTACTCTGAGATGAGCTTTACTTTCTAGAGGCAAGTGATCCATAAACTAAAATAGCATAAAAAAATTGGACGTTTTAAATTGGGAAGTGACACCAAGGCTTCTAGGCATTCCTTGAAGCATTCTGAAGATCCTTCTTCAAGCAAATTTGAATCAAAAGAGATGGTTCATGTTGAACTGAAGAGTTAAATACTAGTACTGACCCTAGTTAAAAAAAGGCCCATCAATAAAGATTAAGGAGATAATATAGTAATCAACGAAGATTTCCTTCCTAAAACCTCAAATAGGCATCAGCCTTAAACAATGAAGTTGATCAAAACATCCTCAAGAACCTTAGAAAATTACCAATACAACTCAACATCTATGAAGCTCTCATAATATTAAGAGATCATTGGTTGGTCCAAGCTCTTCAAGACTAGGACTGATATGAAGCGTATTTCGCAGAGTATTGTTTAACAAAGGTCATGCATGCCTAGAATAATCTAGTTATTAGATTTATACAAAAAGGATCTCCTACTATAGATTTCTAAATATAATCTCTCTTACATCATAATTGAGAGCAACACCACCACCTTTTTTTGTTATTATTCTTTTTTACTTTAGAGCAACAACACCCTTGTGAACTAGATTCCTATTGACATAGGGTCTTTGGTGAACCTCATATGTCTAAAAACATTAAGGTGGTTGTCTCTTAATATCCAATACAGTGCAACAACAACAACACCAAGCCTTTATCCACTATGTGGAGTCAGCTACATAAATAATTTTTCTCCATTGTGTTCTATCAAAATTGAAATTCTCATTTAAATATAATAAAAAAAAAGTTATTTCTAATATTTTTTTAACCAAGTCTTTCTAGGTCTACCTCTACCTTTCTTAACATAAGTCAAATCTAATACATCTAATCTCCTAAACGGGTCATCAAAAGACTCCCATTTTATGTAACCAAATCATCTAAGGTGACTCTCTCTAATCTTATCTTCCACTAGAGCTACTCAACCTTTTCACATATATGCTCGTTTCATATCCTGTCTCTAAGAGAAAAGTTACTCATCCACCTGAGCATCCTCATCTCTACAACACTTAATATTATGCTTACCTTTTAATGGCAACCATTCTGCACCATAAAGCATTGCAAGTCTCACCATCATCTTATAGAATTTTTCCTTAAAGTTTGAGTAGGCCTTTTCTATCACACAAAAAGCCTGTGCATTCCTCGACTTCAACCATCCTACTTGAATTCTACAAATAATATCCCCATCTGTTTCACTATTACTCTAAACAATAGACCCAAAATATCTAAAATGTGTACTCTTATTAATGACTTGATCGTCCAAAGTCACAATACCCCCACCACATCTATTACTACTTAAATTATACTCCATACATTCGGCTTTAGATATACTCAAACGAAAACCTTTAGACTCTAAGGTTGACCTCCATAGTACAAGTTTACCTTCGACTCCCTCTATAGTCTTATCAACAAGGAGAATATCATCAACAAAAAGCATGCACCAGGCTACAACCTCTTGCAAATGTCTAGTGAGAACATCTATGACTAAAGAAAAAGATATGGGATTAAGGCTAATCCTTGATGTAATCCAACTGAAATAGGAAAATATTTGGTCAAACCAGCATGTATTTGAACACAAGTAACATCTCCTACATACATATCCTTAATAACTTGAATATAAGCATTATTAACCCATCTCTTTTATAGAACTCTCCATAGCACTTCTCTTGGAACTTTATCATATGCTTTCTCTAAATCAATAAATATCATATGTAGATACTCCTTATTCTCTCTATACTTCTCCATCAAACCTCTTAATAAATGTATAGCTTCCATAGCAGACCTACCAAGCATGAATTCAAATTGATTTTGAGAAACAATATTATAACGTTGTAACCTATGCTCCATAACTCTCTCCCATGGTTTTAAAGTATGACACATTAATTAAATTCCTCTATAATTCGCACAATCTTGTGTATCACCTTTATTCTTAAAAATAAGAATTAACACACTCATTCTCCACTCATTGGCATCTTTTAGTCTTCAAATAATAATTAAAAATTTAGTAAGCAAAGAAATTCCTTCATACCCTAAACATTTTCACACCTCTATTAGAATATCATCATGTCCAATAGATTTTCTACACTTCATTTTTTTAAAGTCTCCCTAACTTCGATTTTATTAATACACCGATAAAAATAAAAATCTTTATTCATTTAGGGTGCTAACGTTACGAAAGTCAATCACATTCTCATAATTTTCAATGAAAAGCTAAGCAAAATATCAAATCCACCTTTATTAAATATCTTCTAATAAAGTGTTTTTGATATTCATCCTTAATGCACTTCAATTAAAGTAAATCATTAACTCGTATACATTTGTTTAGCTAACTTATACATATATATTTCACCTACTTAATATCTAATCTATTATATAAATCATTAAAACCTAAAATATTTG